GCAATATGCTCGATAGTGCACGGCGTGCGTAACTGTCTACAAGCACATGCAAAGTAGGTGCTCGCAAATGCGCATACAATCACCTGCGGATGCAACGCTGGCATAGCGCTCTGTTGCACCGTTGGCAAGCCGCTCTGGTGCAGCGTGGCAGGCCGCCATTCCGCAGCGTTGGCAAGTCGCCCACGAGCTGCGTTGGCAGGCCGACGACTTGCTACGTTGGCAGGTCGACGACTTTGTCGCACTGGCGGTTGACCTGCCTGTGCGCTAGCAAACTTTGCATCTGATGTAGTCATTCTTGCCATTGCTTGTTCATTCTTTATTCCGAACTTTTCCTAGTGAAACTTTTGTTGTTTTGCTCTGTAAACGCACAAGTGCTAGAGAATACAAGGAACGATGCGATCACTCTCACAACTTGTGCCTACCCCGTAGTCTAGCTCCCACCGTTGTAGAGTTTCTCTCCGCAGGGGGGAGAGGAGGGTTGGTGAGAAATAGTTAATGCGATACTTGGTGGGCTGATGCACGATGATGCAAGCCAAAGACGGGGAAGGATGTGGGGGGAGTAGATTGCATCGAAAAATGTTATTGGGTAGGCAGATACCAAGCAATATAGGGCTTGGTGCAGTGCAACAGGTGGGAAGAATCTGAGCGCACCCAAATGGTGTGGCAAAAAGGGGAGAGAATGCGATCTGGGGAGGCATAAGAAAGGGGTAAAAACTAGGGATTGACGTAGACAGTAGACAGAGGGATATATATGGAGTCAATATATTAGATCCATAATCTTATTCTGACGGGGTTATGTGGGTGAGTCTGAATGGGTTCGAGAAGAGGGCTTGATAGAGTGTTTTAACAGTACCTCATGTGGCACTAGTCGTGTAGGTGGCTTCGATGCTGTTTAAGGGGTGGGGGGTGGCATAAATGATCCACGTAACGAGGTGTACCTGGTCCTGCACAAAACAGATGGGTACAAGAAGAATGACACAACAAATATATTGCTTTGTTAGTGGACGGGAAATAAGATAAATAGGTAATGCATGTAGAACTAGCTAAACATTTCCCGACATGGATTAGTCTGTCAAAGTGGTATGGAGGATGAGTGGCGCCATCCGGTGACAATGCCTTTTGTCTATTGCCAGATCATTTCTCCAAGTGCGTGATCTCTCTTACCACGTCGCACAACGCGCTGCATGTCGTAGCTGGACAATATGTCTCCGAACAAGTTGTTTGATCGTGTTGTTCCAATGTAGAATAGACAGCGCAACCATGCTTCAGTGCTCTCATGAAAACGTATCCTCGTTGGAGCAAATTTGGAAACAGCAGAGGGAAAGCACTTGTTCAGCCAACTTGATGCTCTAAGCACGAATGTTTCCATCTTTTCAGCGCAACAATGTTTTATGAAACCAATCCCTAAAAGCTAGATGTGTGGTCCGCGCGGCGGCGAGCGGCGCGCAGGCAGGGCAGGGCGCGCGGCCGCGAGCAGTGCGCGAGCAGGGCAGGCAGCGCGGCGGCGAGCTGCGCGCGGGCAGGGCAGGGCTCGCGGCGGCAAGTGGCGCGCGGGCGCTTTAGGGTGCGCGGCGGCGAGTGGCGCGCGGGCAGGGCAGGGGCACGGCGGCGAGCGGCGCGCGGGCAGGGCACGCGGCGGCGAGCAGGGCGTGGGCAGGGCAGGGCGCGCGGCGACGAGCAGCGCGCGGGCAGGGCGCGCGGCGGCGAGCGGCGCGCGGGCAGGGCGACGCGGCGGCGAGCAGCGCGCTGGCAGGACAGGGCGCGGGCAGGACAGGGCGCGCGGCGGCGAGCGGCGCGCGGGCAGGGCAGGGCGCGCGGCGGCGAGCGGCGCGCGGGCGGGGCAGGGCAGGGCGTGCGCGGGCAGCGCGACGCAGGGCAAGGTAGGGCGGCTCGGCGCTAACAGGGCGGCGCGACTCGTGGGGTAGCGCGGTTCGGTGGGCCCTAAAAAAAAAAGGGTCCTAGGTTAGGACCTGCTCTGAAATCGTGTCAAGAGAATGAACGAGAATGGATGAACTACCGTCCTCACCCGGATATAAGACAGTGTTGAATAGAAGACAGGGGGTGTCTATTATCCGGGTGTCTCTTATGAATGGGGTAGCCTCATTATAAGACACCTATTTGTGTGTACGAGTTAAGCAAGCGTAGGGGTTAGGGGCAATTGTATAACGAGGGGGTATCTTCTAAACGGTTCTTTGTCCATTTATAAGACTTATAAGACACCCGAAACCGTCCCAAATACAAGAAAGCCCAAGCATTTTTGCCCGTGTACGAGATAAGACATATATGTCTTATATTCGGGCGATTACGGTAGCAGCATGCATGTGTACAAGTACTAACCCTAATTGGGTTGTACCCCATATGGGCTACCCCACTACAGCCTACACAACATATAAGTTTGACAGCCACCACACTCATACACTATGCTCTTTGGACCCTACGAATCAGCAATGCATTATGGCACAATGCCATGGCATATACATAATGTGAGGACTCTGGCTCAATGCTTTGCTACTATTGCACGCTCATACGCTACATCTTCCAAGACCATAACCTTGCCCTCTTTGGCCATTATGAAAATGTATGCTGAATCATTGAGCAACACTCACTTCTTCAACATTCACTTGGTACATCACTGAGCCTGGTGTTGTCGTTGTCATCGCTGTCGTCGCTGATGTCGCGGCCGACGCCACCGTCGCTGCCGTCGTCGCCGATGTGGTCGTCGCCGTAGTCGTCGCTGTGGTGGTGGTGGTCGTCGTCGTCGTCGTAATATGTTTGGTAAAAAAATAATGGGTATGGTCATTGCAAAGGGTGTTTTCACGTGTTTGATAAAACGTTTCACGTAATCATTCACTATTAACCGGGGGGAAATCACGCAGATTGTAATAGATAAACCACCGGACCAGAAAATATAATAACAAAAAAGAACATAGATGCATTTTCGGATTGATCAACTCGCTTAGTATTTAGGGTTGATTCACCTCCAGATTGAGCGAGCGAGCCAGTTACTCCGGTTACCCGTTGCTCCGGTCCCCAGAGGGTCAGTTGCTCTTGCCGGCGAACAGAGCCAGTTACGCCGTTTGCGACCAGTGCGAGCAGCTTCAGCGGCCGCCCACCTCCTCTCCTCTCCAGTTTCCTCCTCCTCACTTGCCCTCTGCTTCTGCCACCAATCTTTGCCTATGAACTGGTTCAGTGACTGCTTGTTCTGTTGGCTATACCCCACTTTGCCTATAGGGGTGTGTCAAACTGTTATTTGTTGTGTAGGCTGTAGTGGGGTACTCAACAGTGAGTACAACCCTTTTAGGGTTTCCTATATGTATCCCACCTGCCTGCTAGTTCAATCACTCTTCCATTTCGCCTTCCTAAAACCTAAGCCCTAACTTGGCTTAGGATTCTAACATGCATCAGCTCCTGATAGGGTTTTAGAGACGTTTTTGAAGTTAGTTGATTGGTTTGGCGTAAGCGGGGAAAATGCAGAGTTTCATGTATATCTGGCGGGAGTTACATGCGTGACCCTTCGCGTGAATCTGTGCCTGTTGTTAGTGACTGAATGCGTTACCAATTACCATACCCTATAAAACACTCGATACTGTGACTCTACGCGCGATTGTTTTACCATAAGCGTCATCATGTTTCTTACTTGTGGCATATTTTCCCTTTATTATATATCCTTACCTTAGCAATAGCCCTGGTAAAGAGTCTGAGCAAAAAGTCTCAAACGTGCAACAGGTCTATACACCAGATTGCGCATAGAGTCGTTTATCCGTGAGTGATGACTACAGACTTTGAAGAACTGCCTTCTCATTTTACTCGAACAACCTGAGCACAAAACGATGCATCCTGGCAAAAAAAAAAAACATGTACAGTTGCGGACGTGACCCTGACAAGATCCACGAAATCTTCAGAGGTTTGAACAATTGGCCGCTTATGGTCCCTTCCTTCCCGTGGCAAGTTGGCGGAGGAAGGCAAAAATTAGTCTGGTTTTATTTCAAGCTACCTCAAAGGCGAGGGTGAGTGAAGTAAGGCACTAGGTGTAGGACCTTGACTAGCATTTCCTTAGCGCTGAGTGTAGAACCTTGACTAGGGTTTTCCTTATGGCACTGGCTGCAGATGTTTCCTCCCATGGACGCTAGCTCACTTATGGCGCAGGGTGAAACCTGTCGTTGCGCGGAATAAGGGCCTCTGCCGCGGTACAGTTCCTTCATTCGCAGATAGATCTCCCCCGACCGAGCACATCTGTCAATGCTGACGACTGCTCTACTAGGCCCTTCCGCGCGAGTCTGCGGTAGTAGGTATCGCCGTGCGGCCGCCAGTATCCGCCGGCCTTACCCTAAAGTTTACTCCGCCAGGATTTCTCGCTCGCCGCACGTGTAAGGCGAGGATGGAACACATTAGGTCTTCCCCACTGCAGCCTCAGGTTTTACTGTGCTTGAAAGTCTACATTCTCGGCTAACGACAACGTTCACTGTTTGCATTGTCGTTCCCGTGTGCAATAATAGTATCGCCGCAATCTCTTTCGATTGTGTGGTTGAAAGTACGTATAACTTCAGCGAGCCGAGACGACGCGAAGTCGGATTGGGTGGCTCCTGATCAGCAAACGACAACGCTCACTGTTTGCAATCGTTATTCCCATGCGCGATATCGCCGCAATTTCTATCGATTGTGCGGTTGAAGCTACTTCAGCGAGCCGATATTACGAGAAATCGAATTGGGTGGCTCTTGATCAAGCTTTGTCGTATGGTAATCCACGCAGCCAATGACAGTATCGCATGTTCCTGTGGTCTTCCGCGGAGATATCACAGCTGTCACGTAGTACCCGACAAGGTGACTGCAGTAAGAATGCGTCGCTAGTGCATGTCGTGTCTGCCCGCAGCGGCGACATTCTTACAAAGCAGGCAATGCGGAAAGGCGCGCCATGATCCGTCCGCGCATTCCTCTCGTCTCTAGTCAGGTTGATCTTGACTTTTGCAACTCGCGTCGTTTTAACTCGCGTACGACAACACATGTTTTGTCTCGACGAGCGGTTGTGCGGCGCATCGTGTGCGGTTGTCACTACAAACAGAAACAGGATAGAGCCGTGGTCGCACCGTTTGTGTGGCCCACCTGCGACGCGGCCTCATCCGCGCGCGCGCAGCTCCCATTCCTCCCATCCGCGGGGCCAGCTCCCTTTTCTCCCCCTCGTCACATCCATCTCTCCCCCTCCCCCTCTCTCAAACTCAACACTTCACGACCTCGTGCGATGTGACAAGCGCATACGCCTCACCACGATGATAGACCAGCGCGGATCCCGCCATTCAAGGGGGAAGCTCCTTACCCCAATCCCTTTCCGCCCTCTCCCCCTATCGGGAGGGGGCGAGGGTGCGGCCGGGGGGGAGTGGATGGAAATCCCCTCGGCTCGAGCTGAGGGGAGGAGGGGGACGGTCAGTATCATCCGTCTCACGGTACATAAGCCGCTCAGCTATCCTTTCCACATATCGCCTCTCCTTCCACTCCTCTCGTCACTCGCCACGACTGAGCCCTCGGAGGCTCATCGTCTCTCATCGGCGCATCGCCTCTGCCAGCACTGCCGCCGCCGGTGCTTCCAGCCCTTCTCATCACCATGGCTTCGCACGGCGTGGCTGTGACTCGGAGCTTTGGCCTCCTGCTCGCTGCACTGGCTGCTCTCATGCTCTCCGGTGAGCTCATGCTCTTAAGCCTGCTATCAGGTTTTCCCCCTTCCCCGTTCCCCCTCCCCCCTCTTCCTCCCTTACTTCCGTCCGTTCGCATACCAGAGCAACACCAGCTGATGTCATCCACCTCCTCTCCGTGAGCCGTCCCCTCCTTCCTTTCTCATCCCATTCTCCTTCCGTTCTTCCTCATCCCCCCCATTCTCCCTCCACCCCGCCTTCCCCACCCCTCTCCCCCATCCGCGCTCAGCCTGTGCGCCCAGGGCTGCCGCCATTCGCCATTCGCACGGCCTGCTGACAGCTGCTTCAAGCAACGCCGCCGACCGTAAGGCACCCGCCTCACATCACCGAGCCAGAGATTCGCACCCTTGCCCGTCTCCTTGCCCTCAAACGCACCCTTGCCCGTCTTCTTGCCCTCAAACGCACCCTTGCCCGTCTCCTTGCCCTCAAACGCACCCTTGCCCGTCTCCTTGCCCTCAAACGCACCCTTGCCCGTCTCCTTGCCCTCAAACGCACCCTTGCCCGTCTCCTTGCCCTCAAACGCACCCTTGCCCGTCTCCTTGCCCTCAAACGCACCCTTGCCCGTCTCCTTGCCCTCGGCCTTACTCCAGTCTTTTCTGGGAACATCTTACTTGTCTCGCGTATCGCTCCCATCCCATCTCTCTTCTCCGTCTCACGTCGCTTTCGTCTCTCCGTTTTTCCATCTCTTCATCCCTTCTTCTTGTTCCCACCCACCCTCCTGGATCCTCTCTGTCTCTCTTGCCACTTTCTCTCTTTCCCTCCGCCAGACTCGTGTGTGCAGCGCAACTGTGGCGCCAATGCGGTGTGCGTGAAGGACAGGGGCAGCGCCACCTGCGTGTGCAACGTTGGATTCTCCATGACCCCCACCGGCTGTGTTGGTGAGTGCTACTCGCCACTACAGCCCTTCTTATAGCTTCATGTTTTCACGTGGGCAGTAATTTCCTTCGTCTGTTGTTCCTGATCTCTCCTCACTCGCCCAACTCCCTCCCCTCTATCCCCAGACAACTGCGCGCTCAAGGCGTGTGGCACCAACGGCAAGTGCATCAAGGACAGTGCTGGAGTGGCGTCCTGCGTATGCAACGCTGGCTTTCTGCTGCAGGCTGACAAGGTTACATGCACTGGTGCGTATGTGCTGATGTGTGATCACGAAGCGACAGTCATGTAGTTCCCCGAAGCTATCTGTCACGTAATGCATGTTTTTTTTGCCTCTTTTGCCGATTCGTCAAACACTTTCCACCTTCTACACTCTCTCTGCTTCGTCCCTTAACTCACTATCATGCCTTTCTACCCTTTCCCTTGGCAGACACGTGTGTGCTCAAGAAGTGTGGAAGCAACGCCAAGTGCGTGAAGAGCGCTGCAGGAGTGGCGTCCTGCGTGTGTGCCACTGGCTTCGTGATGCAGCCTGATGGCATCACATGCACCGGTATGTGCCATGTGCCATGCCTTGTCCTATGCCATGTGCCATGCCTTGTTAGTGCAATGTGTCATGCCTGGTGCGATGAATCTGCCATGCCATGTGCTACCATTGTCGATGCTTGTCATTTGAGCAGACACATGCGCGCTCAAGGCGTGTGGCGTCAACGGCAAGTGCATCAAGGACAGTGCTGGAGTGGCGTCCTGTGTGTGCATCACTGGCTTTTCTCTGCAGGCTGACGGCACCACATGCACCGGTAAGATGCCATGTGCTATGCCCATGTGGCATGCCATGCTATGCACAGGCAGGTGCCATGCCTTGTGAGATGTCATGTTCCATGCCGTCTTGTGCTGCAACGTGCTAAGTACTGCAAGTGCGAGTGCAAGGTGATACGCGCCAGTACTTGATGACAGACGCACGCCAGTCTTGCCAGTCTGCTTTTTCAAGTGAGTGCTGCTGTGAATCTCATTCTCATCTGTTTTTTCTTTCGTGCCTTACTCTTTCACTTCTCTCCATGCCTCCTGTCAGACACCTGCGTCACCAAGAACTGTGGTGCCAATGCTGCTTGTGTGAAGGACGCTCAAGGCGTTGCATCCTGTGTTTGCAACATGGGCTTCCAGATGGTGAAAGGCCTTTGCATTGGTACGCATCATCTTTCCGATGGTGAAAGGCCATACTCCTCGTGTGCACCTGTACTTACACTCCTTGTGCGCACGTCTCTACTCCCACTCCTTGTGTGCACGTCTCTACTCCCACTCCTTGTGTGCACGCCTCTACTCCCACTCCTTGTGTGCACGCCTCTACTCACACTCCTCGTGTGGACGTCTCTACTCAAACTCTTCTTCATTACTCTCTCCCTCTTCACACGAACCTCGCCCATTTCCTTTCCTCCACTCCTCTCTCCCCTCCGCCATCCATCGCCCCCCCCACCCAGACACCTGCAAGATGCAGAGCTGCAGTGCGAACGGCCGGTGCATCAAGGACGAGATTACTGGAGCGGCGTCCTGTGTGTGTGACACTGGCTTCGTGCTGCAGGCGGATGGCAGGATGTGTACCGGTAAGTTTTGAGTCGACTCAAAAGTCACCTAGGTAAGTGCCATTCCGTGTGAGGCACACCAGTCTTGCACTGCGTTTGCTTATCAAGTGAGTGCTGCTGCGAATCTTGTGCCTCTCCCTCGAGTCTTTTCCCTCTCACCCCACACGTCCCCCCTGCTCTCCACTCGCCCAGACACATGTGCGCTGAAGAAGTGTGGCGTCAACGGCAAGTGCATCAAGGACAGTGCTGGAGTGGCGTCCTGCGTGTGCGACGTTGGCTTTGCTCTGCAGCCCGACGGTTCCACATGCACTGGTGCGTGCTGAATCCTGCATGCACTGGTGCGTGCTGCATCCCACATGCACTGGTGCGTGCTGCATCCCACATGCACTGGTGCGTGCTGTGCAGTGCAGCACAACCTGTGCAATCTGAATCTTTCAGATTAGCTGTCTAGTCTCGCTAGTTCTCTATTCACATTGCATCTCCCTCTCTCCCTCCCTGCACTCTCTCCTTCTCTTCCCTCTTGCATTTCCTCACTGCCTTCTCTCCTTCCCACCCTCCATTCCCTCCTCGATGTCCCCTCCCATTCTCGTCTGTTCTGTTCGTGCTTTACTCTTCTAATCCTTTTATCTCCGTGCCTCCTTTCAGATACGTGCGTCATCAAGAGCTGTGGTGCCAATGCTAATTGTGTGAAGGACGTTCAAGGCGTGGCATCCTGTGTTTGCAACACGGGCTTCCAGATGGTGGAAGGCACTTGCACTGGTACGCATCATTGTTCGGATTAGCCGGTTAAATGTTTCATTTTTTCTCTCACTAGCCCTCTATTTGCAGTTTATCTCTCCCTCTCCCCCTCCTCACTCCTTTCCTCCCTCCTTTCCTCTCTCCCTCCTTCACTTCCCTGCTTTTTTCTAACTCAGTTTCCGCTCTTTACCCTTTTCCCTCGCTTGGCCCCTTTCCCCTCAACCCTCCCCATACTCTTTGTGTGCACGTCCGTACTCACACTTCTGCTCATTTCTCTCGTCCTGTTCACATCCCTTCTGTACCATCCTCGCCCATTTCCTCCACCCCTCACTCCTCCCCTCTCCCATACCTCCTCCGCCCAGACACCTGCGTCATCAAGAACTGTGTGAGGGGCCGGTGCATCAAGGACGGATCTGGAGCGGCGTCCTGTGAATGTAGCACTGGCTACGTGCTGCAGGCGGATGGCAGGACGTGCAAAGGTATGTGCTGAAACTGCTGTGCGCTACTCTATGTGATTCTGTGCGCCACTCTGTGTGCTGCTCTGGTTTCATGTCCCTTCTACATCATTCTCGCTCATTTCCTCCACTCCTCATCCTCCCATCCCTCCCCCACTCAGACACCTGCGACATCAAGGACTGTGAATGGTGGGTGCATGAAGGACGGACTCGGAGTGGCGTCCTGCGTGTGTCAAGATGGCTTTGCGCTGCAGGCGGATGGCAGGACGTGCACTCGTACGTGTTGAACCTGCTGTGCGCTGCTCTCTGTGCTCTTGTGTGTTACTCTGCTTTCTGCTGTACGCTACTTTGTGTGCTGCTGTGTTTCCTCGTAGATTAAAGTTCCCTCGATCCCTCATCTTCCTTTTCTCTCCCCCCCCCCCCTCCCCCCCCCCCCCCCCCCCCCCCCCGGCCCCCCCTTTTCCCCCCTGCAGATGTCTGTGTGATCCAGAACTGTGGTCTCAACGGCCGGTGTGTTCCTGCTGGTAACGCGGCTGCCTGTGTCTGTGACCCTGGCTACGTGCTGCAGGCGGATGGCAGGACATGTAAAGGTATGCGTTGAAACTGCCGTGTGCTACACTATGTGATTCTGTGTGCTCCTGTGCGCTACTCTGTGTGCTGCTGTGATTGCTCCTAAATCCATGTCTCCTCACCTCTCTTTGCTGTCTCAGTTTCCCCTTGAACGTCACTGCTGCTTACCCCTCCCTCGCTTGGCCTCTCCCCCCTCAACCCACCCCATAGTCCTTGTGTGCACGTCTCTAGTACTCACACTCCTTGTGTGCACGTCTCTAGTAATCACACTCCTTGTGTGCACGTCTCTACTCACACTCCTTGTGTGCACGTCTCTACTCACACTCCTTGTGTGCACGTCTCTACTCACACTCCTTGTGTGCGCTACTCTCTGCTGTTGTGATTGCTCCTACATCCGTGTCTCCTCACCCCTCTTTTCTTTCTCAGTTTCCCCTTGAACGTCGCTGCTGCTTACCCCTCCCTCGCTTGGCCTCTCCCCCCTCAACCCTCCCCATACTCTTTGTGTGCACGTCTATAGTACTTACACTCCTTGTGTGCACTGCACGTCTCACACTCCTCTTGCACTACTCTCTCCTTGTTCACGTCCCTTCTACACCATCCTCACCCATTTCCTCCCCTCCTCTCTCCCCTCCCCCGTTGCTCCCCCCACCCAGACACCTGCGAGATCCAGAAGTGTGGTGGGAACGGCACGTGCAGCAAGGACAAAATCACAGGAGCGGCGTCGTGTGTGTGTAACCCTGGCTTTGTGCTGCAGGCGGATGGCAGGACGTGCAAAGGTATGTGATGGAACTGCTGTGTGCTACTCTATGTGATTCTGTGCGCTAATCTGCGTGCTGCTGTGATCCCTCCTGAATTCATGTCGCCTCTCCCCTTTTTTTTTGCCTCTCCCCTCCACGTCCACCCCTCCTCTCCCCTCTTTTCTGCCTCTCCCCTCCACCCGTCCGCTCCCCTCTTTTCTGCCTCGCCCCCCTCGCAGACGTGTGTGAGATCCAGAGCTGTGGTGCCAACGGCCAGTGTCGTGCTGGTGATAGCAGCGCCACCTGCCAGTGTGACCAGGGATACGAGCTGCAGCAGGATGGCAAGACGTGCCTTCCCACCCCACCTCCACCTGCTGCAGTCGGTGGGTGATGCTACCTTGACTTGAACGGCTGCTGTGCTGCCTCCAGTACCAATGCCTTCACTACTTGCGTTCCCAAGATCTCGCTTCATATGACTTGCCGTCTTCAATCCTGGATCCCACTACCACCGCTGGTATCACGTCTTCTCCGCCGCTCTCCCCTCTTGTGTGCCTCTCCCCCCACGCAGATCCCTGTGACGCCATGAACTGTGCTCCTAACGGCGAATGTTATCGTTATGCTGATGGCACGGCTACCTGTTATTGCTACGTTGGTTTCGAGATACAGGATGTGACGTGCGTCCCCAGCTCATATCAACCTGAACCCGGTGGGTGATGCTAGCAGCTAGCTTGTCGTGCTGCTGTGCTTCCTCCAGTGCCTATGGCTTCACTACTCTCATCTCATGTGTTCCCAATGTCTCGTCTAGACTATATTGTCGGATCTATCTTGAATCCCACCACCCCTCATTTCACGTCCCCACCACCCCTCTCCCCTCTGCGCCGCCTCTACCCCCCCACGCAGTGACCTGCTCCATGACTTGCATTAGTGAGAACATGCACTGCAACGAGTATGACCAGTGTGTGTGTGTCGATGGGTACGAGATGCAGAATGGGGCGTGCGTCTCCAGCCCACCTCCACCTGCTGCAATCGGTGGGTGATGATGCTACCTAGGACTTGAACTGCTGCTGTGCTGCCTCCAGTGCCGTGGCTTCACCACTCATTCATTTCGTGCGTCTCGCTTAATATGTCCTGTCGTCTTCAATCTTGAAACCCACACCCCTCATTTCACATCCCCTCCACCCCTCTCTCCTCCACGCCGCCTCTACCCTCACCCAGCGCCATGCGATCTGAGCTGTGGTGCGAACAAGCATTGTAACAACAGTAATGGAGTGGCGTCATGTGTTTGTGACATTGGTTTCGAAATGCAGGCGGATAATACGTGCAAGGGTAAGTGCTGACGGTTGTGCATCTGTGTTCAATGGCTGCTGTGTGCTTCTGTGTCACAGCTTCTGCAGCTGTAGTCTAGCGCGTGCAGCTGTGTGCTGTTATGCTGCCGCTACCGTGTGCAGCTGTCTGCTGCTGATATGCTGCCGCTAGCGTGTGCAGCTGTCTGCTGCTGATATGCTGCCGCTAGCGTGTGCAGCTGTCTGCTGCTGATATGCTGCCGCTAGCGTGTGCCGGTAGCTCTCTCAGTCATAGAGTTTTCTCACGCCTCTTTGTGCATCCCTGCGCCAATGTCTCGTTTCTTGTTCAGTCCCCCCCCTGCCCCTCCTGCTTGTATCTTTTTTGTTTTCTTGAAACATATCGTCATTGTCCTACTCAGCCGTCACGTTATGTTTCTTTCTACATCCATCCGCCCCTGGTCCCACCACTGTTTGTGTCTCGCTCTGATACGTCCGTTCACCCCAACTCCTTCCCATTTCGGTGCGATGGCGGTTCGTGCTCTTGGACGGATCCTGATGTGGGCGTTGAGTACACATATCTCGCACACTGCGACAAGTCGCCTGCCACAGGGGACCCGTTTTCTGCTTGCAATTTCTTTATGGAAGCCCGTTATGCAAGAAGTTTTGGCTGTGTTGGTAAGTTCCACGCGTTGAGGAGTCAAAGCTAGCTGACCAGTGTGCTGCCGTCTCTCCGTCTCTCCGTCTCTCCGTCTCTAGACCCCAACCCATGGACCTCCTACCCGATTCGTTCCATCCCTGCCATCCTCTTACCTTTAACAGTCACACCCTCCCCGACTGCCATGTTGACTGCCATGTTGACTGCCATGCTGACTGCCATGTTGACTGCCATGTTGACTGTCGTGGGATTAGCACACGGCAATGTTGGGAGATGTTGATGTCATACTTGCGATGTTGTAATATGCCTTGTATGTGTCTCCTCTCCCCCTCTCCCCCTCTTTCCCCCTCCCCCCCCTCCCCATCTCCCCCTCTCCCCATCTCCCCCTCTCTCCCTCTCCCCCTCTCTCCCTCTCCCCCTCTCTTCCTCTCTCCCTCTCCCCCTCTCCCCCTCTCCCCTTGCCTCCTTCAAAGTATCTTGTCGTCCTCAAACTTGAATCCCACCACCCTCGTCCCCTGCACCCGTCTGCCCACTGCGCTGCCGCCAACCCCACCAGTGCCGTCCTGCACACTGGTGGGCTGTAACTGGAACATGCACTGTGACGCGGCAACGGAGACGTGTGTTTGCAATGATGGCCTCGTGCTCGTCGAGGAAGATTTGTGCATGGGTACGTGCTCACTGTTGTGTGCATATGTCTTCATTGCCTGCTCACTGTTGTGTGCATATGTCTTCATTGCCTGCTCTCTGCTTCTGTGTAGCAGCCTCTGTTATCCAGTGCATGCAGCTGTTATCCAGTGCAGGCAGCTGTTATCCAGTGCAGGCAGCTGTTATCCAGTGCATGCAGCTGTTATCCAGTGCATGCAGCTGTTATCCAGTGAATGCAGCTGTTATCCAGTGAATGCAGCTGTTATCCAGTGCATGCAGCTGTTATCCAGTGCATGCAGCTGTTATCCAGTGAATGCAGCTGTTATCCAGTGCATGCAGCTGTTATCCAGTGAATGCAGCTGTTATCCAGTGAATGCAGCTGTTATCCAGTGAATGCAGCTGTTATCCAGTGCATGCAGCTGTTATCCAGTGAATGCAGCTGTTATCCAGTGCATGCAGCTGTTATCCAGTGCATGCAGCTGTTATCCAGTGCATGCAGCTGTTATCCAGTGAATGCAGCTGTTATCCAGTGAATGCAGCTGTTATCCAGTGCATGCAGCTGTTATCCAGTGCATGCAGCTGTTATCCAGTGAATGCAGCTGTTGTCCAGTGCATGCAGCTGTTATCCAGTGCATGCAGCTGTTATCCAGTGAATGCAGCTGTTATCCAGTGCATGCAGCTGTTATCCAGTGCATGCAGCTGTTATCCAGTGAATGCAGCTGTTATCCAGTGAATGCAGCTGTTATCCAGTGCATGCAGCTGTTATCCAGTGCAGGCAGCTGTTATCCAGTGCATGCAGCTGTTATCCAGTGCATGCAGCTGTTATCCAATGCATGCAGCTGTTATCCAGTGCATGCAGCTGTTATCCAGTGAATGCAGCTGTTATCCAGTGCATGCAGCTGTTATCCAGTGAATGCAGCTGTTATCCAGTGCATGCAGCTGTTATCCAGTGCATGCAGCTGTTATCCAGTGCATGCAGCTGTTATCCAGTGCATGCAGCTGTTATCCAGTGCATGCAGCTGTTATCCAGTGCATGCAGCTGTTATCCAGTGAATGCAGCTGTTATCCAGTGCATGCAGCTGTTATCCAGTGCAGGCAGCTGTTATCCAGTGCAGGCAGCTGTTCATCTCGTCTCATCCCTTTTTTACTTCTCGTTTCTTGTTCAGTCCCGCCCCTGCCACTCGAGCCTATATCTCATTTTGTGTTCAATTCTATATCAGTTTGGTGTGCTACAGTGTCGTTGTCCTTCTCAGCTGTTACAATATATGATTCTTCCTGCATCCACCCATCCCTGGTCCCACTCTTCGTGTCTTGATCCCGCCCCAACTCCTTCCCAGAACCGTGAAGGGAAGCAAATCCTCATCATTTCCGTGAAAGTACCCATCAGCCACTCCCGTCGTCCCATCAGCCACTCGAGTCTCGTCATCCCATCAGCCACTCGAGTCTCGTCATCCCATCAGCTAGTCTTCCAGCATAATCATCTTGCAAAAGGCGTGAATTGTGTGGATCAGGACCGCCCCTGCTTGAGTGCCTCTGGAAAGGAAGATGGGGAGGAAAGGCTTGACCTTTGGGCCTTGCCCTACAAGGGGGCAAGATCTCCATGCACCAGGGTGCAAGGCATCAGCTGCATTCATGGGGGCACGGCTTCTTTTCTTGTTTTCTGGTTGCTTTGTTTGATCTGTAGTGTGTGTTGTTGGTTGGCCATTTAATTTGCCTTTGTTTGTCTTTTGTGGGGCTGGTTGCAGCTGTAGCATATCTCAATAAGGGAATGTACCCCTCAGAGTACATGACTAGCTAGAACTGTTGCTGTGTTCCTATATATAGCAACTGTTTCCTGTTTGTTCTTTAATGTTTATTGGTGTTACTGATTCAAGAACAAGAATGACCACCAGCATTGCAGATGCTCTTTTTTAGGAGCCCTGATGAGGGAGCAGAATGCAGGTGGGGGACGGTAGGATTGCAGCAGGCGGAAGGAAGGATGGCAGGGGAGAAAGAAAGCTGGGCAGGGGGGGTAATAAGCTAGCTTAGCACAGGGAGAGAGGAACAGATGGGGAAGAGAGAGGAATCAAAGGGGGAAAAGTGGGGAAACAGAGGGGGTATATGCAACAGGGGTTGAAGAGAGGGGGAAACATGATGGCATGCACTGGGGTATTGCAAGGCAGACCAGGAATTGTGGGTTAGCACAGGGGGGTCAGGAATGGCAGGCAGGGGTATATTGAAAGGCACTCAGGGGTATATTGAAAGGCACTCAGGGGTATATTGAAAGGCACTCAGGGGTAGATTGAAAGGCACCCAGGGGTAGATTGGAAGGCACCCAGGGGTAGATTGGAAGGCACCCACCAACACAACAGTACCCACCAACACAGCAGCACTCACCACCACAGCAGCACTCACCAACACCATTGCAGCTGAAGGAGCGGTAACGAAACCCGGGAGAGTTGCTGTTGCACGCTCACATGCAGAGGGAGAGCGACACAGGGTGGGAGGAATGCATTGCACATGGGAGAGGAACGGAGGCAGAGTGAGCGAGTAGCTGGGGTATGGGTTATGTGCCCGTGTGCACACAACCCACTGCACTAGAGGGACGTGGCATGCAAGGGAGAAAGGGAGGGTGCAAAGGAACAAAGGTAATTGACACCATGTGTTTAAGATCACATATCTCGAGTGTGTCTGCAAGGTCATGATTATCAGGATTGCATGTGTCAAGCATCTTCCGTCCAGGATCACCTATCCGAAGGATTGTGTCGGCTGCAATCTGCTACTCACTCATAACCAAGGGCACTCTGTCCGTTGGCATTGTACGGCGTGTACGCGCCAACGCACCCCTGGGTGAACTGGTTCAGAGACGTGCAGGCGCCCAACCCTCCCGGGGTCCCGTCCACGTGCCACAGCGACACGATTGTCGAGGCAACGGAGTTTTGAGTCGACTCAAAACACACCCCTCCTGGCTGTACTGGTTCGACCTTTTGAGGCGCCTCACAAGATGGTGTCGGCCTGCACTGTGTGACTCACTTGTAACCAAGGGCACTCCATCCGTTTGCAGGATGTGATGTGACTCACTCATAGCCAAGGGCACTCTGTCCCATTGCATTGTACGAAGAGTACGCTCCAACGCACCCCTCCTGGGTGTACTGGTTCAAAGACCGGCAGTCCCCCAAACGTCCTATCCTAGAGTCAAGGATAATGTTGGGGTGCAATGCGTGACTCACTCATAACCAAGGGCACTCTGTCCGAGGGCATTGTACGAAGAGTCAAGGATAATGTTGGGGTGCAATGCGTGACTCACTCATAACCGAGGGCACTCTGTCCCATTGCATTGTACGAAGAGTACGCTCCAACGCACCCCTCCTGGGTGTACTGGTTCAACGACCGGCAGTCCCCCAAACCTCCTATCCTAGAGTCAAGGATAATGTTGGGGTGCAATGCGTGACTCACTCATAACCAAGGGCACTCTGTCCGAGGGCATTGTACGAAGAGTCAAGGATAATGTTGGGGTGCAATGCGTGACTCACTCATAACCGAGGGCACTCTGTCCCATTGCATTGTACGAAGAGTACGCTCCAACGCACCCCTCCTGGGTGTACTGGTTCAACGACCGGCAGTCCCCCAAACCTCCTATCCTAGAGTCAAGGATAATTTTGGGGTGCAATGCGTGACTCACTCATAACCAAGGGCACTCTGTCCGAGGGCATTGTACGAAGAGTCAAGGATAATGTTGGGGTGCAATGCGTGACTCACTCATAACCGAGGGCACTCTGTCCCATTGCATTGTACGAAGAGTACGCTCCAACGCACCCCTCCTGGGTGTACTGGTTCAAAGACCGACAGTCCCCCAAACCTCCCGGGATTCCATCCACGCGCCAGAGCGACACGATTGTCGAGGCAACAGCGGCAGGCACAGTGGTGCAGGCGTTGTAGTCGAGGCGCATGGTGTAGGTGTTGGGCGTCACGAAGAAGTTGGCCTGCTCGTAGAAGGTGAAGCTGGTGGAGGAGACGGTGGGGGCGGCGCCTGGAAGGGGGTGAAAGTAGAGGGTGGGGAGATGTCAAGTGCGGCATGAGGAAGCCAGATGGTGTGTAGAGGGTGAAGCTGGTGGAGGAGACGGTGGGCTGGGCACCTGCAGGGGCAAGGGCAAAGGCAAGCAGAGCACAGGGAGGCACGGGGAGCGGTTTGGGATGGGCAGGGAGAAAGAGAAGGTGGTGGGCGTTTACAACGAAGTAGGGCTGGTCGTGGAAGGTGAAGCTGGTGGAGGAGACGGTGGGCAGGGCTCCCGCAAGGGAACAAGAGAAGCATGGAATGGTACGTGTAATGTAGTGAGGGTGAAGTGTAGAAGGCGCTGCTGGTGGTGGGAGAAGGGACAGAGGGGATGGGACGATAGTACAAGGGGGGGGCAGGGTGTAAACGATGTTGCTAGTTGATAATATAAACAAGCAGGTTTTACACATGGGAAGGGGCCTGGCAGGATTCAACGGCATCGTTGGGGAAGGGGCCTGGCAGGTTTTTGATAGTTCTAAAATACCAGCATGGAAAGGGGCATGGCAGGATGTAACAGCATCGTTGGGGAAGGAAGGAACCTGGCAGGATCAAATGGCGTCGTGATAAATGTGTTGTTTGAGACGTCCCAAAACAACACTTTTGTCACGTGGCATCGTTGGGGAAGATGCCTGGCAGGATCAAATGGTGTTAGTGGGGTGCGAGGAGCGTTGGTCTCACCGCTAACGCAAGTGGTGTTGGTCATGCCGTAGCCGGGAGGGCAAATGCAGTATGGAGCGTTGTACAGAACCGTGCATTTGGCTCCGGAAGGGCAGTTCCCACATGTGGCAGGGCCTGGGGAGGTGGGGAAGTGAGAGGAGAGAACTAACCATCACCGCACCGCACGGCACGGCAGAACAAAATATGATGAAATCACAGAGGGCAGCGTGAGGGCTGCACAGAGAGGATCACAGAGAGGAGCACAGAGAGCAGCACAGAGAGCACTTTGACGCAATTATGTGAGTCGCCATCTTGACGTGTAGCACAAGCTGGCAGAGACGATGCTGCGGCACGTGCAGACGGGAAGACACAGAATGGAACTGGTCATCTACAAGGTAACCAAGTAACCAGGTAACCAGGATGAGCCCATCATCATGTATGAACCCAGGATGACATGGGTCGATTGAGTCTTTTTTTTTTTTTTTTTTTTTTTTTTTTATGGCACCAACACGTACCAACACATTTGCCGTAGATGCTCTGATAGCCCGCCTTGCACACACAGGATGCAGCGCCTGCAGCGTCCTTCACGCAGTCCATTGTGGCATCGCAGATCTTGGACCCACACGCCACTGAGGGTAGAGATACGAGAAGAGTAAGACAAGAAAGAAAGGGAGTGGAAGTGTTGGAGAGTGAAAAGGCTGAAATCGGGATATGGCCATCTTGAAGGCACATAGTGCTGTTGAGTGAAGGCAAGCCTTCAACCACCTGGTTCTCCGGGCCTCATATCCAAATATGGCCATTTTGAGAGATTCAGTTCTTTGTGGGAGGAAGGGAGGTGGAAAGCTCCTAAATGCGGGCAAACATGATTTAGGACTAGCGTAAACTAGTTTGATTCGGTAGAGATGTGTTTTGCGTCGACTCAAAACGCACCTGGTAGAGGTGGTCACACAAACTTGACGTAGGTGCGCAATCCCATAGAACCCTTTTGAGGATTGAGTTTCACCCTTCAACAGTCAGCCTTTGGCCAGGAGATTATTGACACGTAAAAATAATGATGGTTCACTTAATATTAGGCCGCGTAACGTTTCCTCCAAACCAACAGACTGGTGATGGGCATGATTGTGGCCAGGACCTCAACCAGCCAATGCCAATCGACTTTTGCGTTGACTCAAAATGTGGCCAGGACCTCAACCAGCCAATGCCAATCGACTTTTGAGTCGACTCAAAATGTGGCCAGGACCTCAACCAGCCAATGCCAATCGACTTTTGAGTCGACTCAAAATGTGGCCAGGACCTCAACCAGCCAATGCCAATCGACTTTTGCGTTGACTCAAAATGTGGCCAGGACCTCAACCAGCCAATGCCAATCGACTTTTGCGTTGACTCAAAATGTGGCCAGGACCTCAACCAGCCAATGCCAATCGACTTTTGAGTCGACTCAAAATGTGGCCAGGACCTCAACCAGCCAATGCCAATCGACTTTTGAGTCGACTCAAAATGTGGCCAGGACCTCAACCAGCCAATGCCAATCGACTTTTGCGTTGACTCAAAATGTGGCCAGGACCTCAACCAGCCAATGCCAATCGACTTTTGAGTCGACTCAAAATGTGGCCAGGACCTCAACCAGCCAATGCCAATCGACTTTTGAGTCGACTCAAAATGTGGCCAGGACCTCAACCAGCCAATGCCAATCGACTTTTGAGTCGACTCAAAATGTGGCCAGGACCTCAACCAGCCAATGCCAATCGACTTTTGAGTCGACTCAAATGTGGCCAGGACCTCAACCAGCCAATGCCAACCCCCCTTCCTTTCCACAATGGTGTCAACCTCCCTGGTTTGTAATCCAAAAGTCAGTTGAACTCAATTCCATCCATACACGGATTGTCACAACAGCAGCACGTAGCAGCGCATGTCTTGCCGTCGGGCAGGAGGAGAAAGCCGGGATCACAAGCACAGAAGGCCACTCCTGGTGAGTTTTGAGTCGACTCGAAAGTCACCCTGCAGTACATACCAGCGCATGTCTTGCCATCGGGCAGCAGGAGAAAGCCGGGATTGCAAGCACAGAAGGCCACTCCTGCACTGTCCTGAACGCACGTGCCGTTCCCACCGCAGCTGTTGGGAGCACATTTTTCTGTAAGCGAGGGGGCGATTCGAAGGAAAAACTGGTATGGATGGATATGCAGCAGCTTGTGACCATAGGAAATCGGAAGGTTGCAAGACATGCACATACATGCCTTTTGACAGTGAACAGGGAAAGGGTGAAAGTGTGAGCAGCGGCCTCTTTTGAGTGAAAACACATAAACATGGCAGCTGCAAAGGGACTTGCCGATTCGAGGTGCATTCTCAACAAACGAAGGCCAATGAATGACTATGATGAACGAACTACTGAAGGGGCCAGTTGAGAGAGTGGCGAACAATAGAACACAATGGCATGGCACCCACCCACCAACACAGCAGCACTCACCGAATATAGAGCAGGCGAAGGAGCGGAAAGGATACCCGGAATAGTTGCTGTTGCATGCAAAAACAAACACACAGGTGGGCGTAAAACAAATATTTGTATGCATGCAGAGGCGAGTGTCGAACTAGCAGGACGGGGTTTGGGCGAAACTCCACTGTCGCATTCTTAAAGCGACTGAAAAATGCCACACCACATTACAAAGTCAAGTCAATCCTAACTCGCGAGTTGGAACTTTTAACTCGAGTTGGACAAAACTTGAAGGCAAAAGGCCGAATCACCAATTGGTACGTGTCAAATTCGACTCGACTCGATTCGAGCTTGATTCAAATCGACTCGCCCCTTTGCTCATGTCTAGTAGTAGGTAGGATGGTAGGAATGATGGCTGGTAGGTCGGTTGGTCTGTGGCTTACGGAACGCTCGCAGAGCTGAGGCCGCTGCTTAGTGTGACAGGAAACAAGCTATAAGTTCCGATGCACCCCGCCTGGGTGTAAGCGCGGATCTCAAGGCACCTCCCCACGCCTCCAGGGGCGTTCTGCACGCTGCCATACGACTGGATGTCCGGCGCAGAGGAGGCTGTGAGGTTGGTGCAGCCGTTGTAGGTGAGGCGCATTGTGTAGGTGGCGGGTGTTATGCCAAAGCTTGGGAGCGTGTAGTAGGAGAAGCTGATCGTGGAGACGGTGGGGGTGGCGCCTGAAAGGGGAAGGGATCACAGCACAGCACACGGGTGTCCGAAGTAAAGATTTTTTGGCTGCTATGTTGACAGTCCTTGAAGTGGGATGGGAAGAGGGTAAAACAAGGCCAAGACACGGAATGAGGATGAAGGCCCGGGCGGGGATCGAGACGGAAATGACACAAGAGGAGGTGGTACAAAGAGACAGGCCAGGTGCCTAGGTGCAACCAGCACGTACCTAAGGTGCAAGCAGAGGGCACAGTAAGGTGCAACCAGCGGGCACACTAAGGTGCAAGCAGAGGGCACAGTAAGGTGCAAGCAGAGGGCACAGTAAGGTGCGAGCAGAGGGCACAGTAAGGTGCAAGCAGAGGGCACAGTAAGGTGCAAGCAGAGGGCACAGTAAGGTGCAAGCAGAGGGCACAGTAAGGTGCAAGCAGAGGGCACAGTAAGGTGCAAGCAGAGGGCACAGTAAGGTGCAAGCAGAGGGCACAGTAAGGTGCAAGCAGAGGGCACAGTAAGGTGCAACCAGCGGGCACAGTAAGGTGCAACCAGCGGGCACAGTAAGGTGCAACCAGCGGGCACAGTAAGGTGCAACCAGCGGGCACAGTAAGGTGCAACCAGCGGGCACAGTAAGGTGCAACCAGCGGGCACAGTAAGGTGCAACCAGCGGGCACAGTAAGGTGCAACCAGCGGGCACAGTAAGGTGCAACCAGCGGGCACAGTAAGGTGCAACCAGCGGGCACACTAAGGTGCAACCAGCGGGCACACTAAGGTGCAACCAGCGGGCACAGTAAGGTGCAACCAGCGGGCACAGTAAGGTGCAACCAGCGGGCACAGTAAGGTGCAACCAGCGGGCACAGTAAGGTGCAACCAGCGGGCACAGTAAGGTGCAACCAGCGGGCACAGTAAGGTGCAACCAGCGGGCACACTAAGGTGCAACCAGCGGGCACAGTAAGGTGCAACCAGCGGGCACAGTAAGGTGCAACCAGCGGGCACAGTAAGGTGCAACCAGCGGGCACACTTAGGTGCAACCAGCGGGCACAGTAAGGTGCAACCAGCGGGCACACTAAGGTGCAACCAGCGGGCACACTAAGGTGCAACCAGCGGGCACAGTAAGGTGCAACCAGCGGGCACAGTAAGGTGCAACCAGCGGGCACAGTAAGGTGCAACCAGCGGGCACAGTAAGGTGCAACCAGCGGGCACAGTAAGGTGCAACCAGCGGGCACAGTAAGGTGCAACCAGCGGGCACACTAAGGTGCAACCAGCGGGCACACTAAGGTGCAACCAGCGGGCACAGTAAGGTGCAACCAGCGGGCACAGTAAGGTGCAACCAGCGGGCACAGTAAGGTGCAACCAGCGGGCACAGTAAGGTGCAACCAGCGGGCACAGTAAGGTGCAACCAGCGGGCACAGTAAGGTGCAACCAGCGGGCACACTAAGGTGCAACCAGCGGGCACAGTAAGGTGCAACCAGCGGGCACAGTAAGGTGCAACCAGCGGGCACAGTAAGGTGCAACCAGCGGGCACACTTAGGTGCAACCAGCGGGCACAGTAAGGTGCAACCAGCGGGCACACTAAGGTGCAACCAGCGGGCACACTAAGGTGCAACCAGCGGGCACAGTAAGGTGCAACCAGCGGGCACACTAAGGTGCAACCAGCGGGCACAGTAAGGTGCAACCAGCGGGCACAGTAAGGTGCAACCAGCGGGCACAGTAAGGTGCAACCAGCGGGCACAGTAAGGTGCAACCAGCGGGCACAGTAAGGTGCAACCAGCGGGCACAGTAAGGTGCAACCAGCGGGCACAGTAAGGTGCAACCAGCGGGCACACTAAGGTGCAACCAGCGGGCACAGTAAGGTGCAACCAGCGGGCACACTAAGGTGCAACCAGCGGGCACACTAAGGTGCAACCAGCGGGCACAGTAAGGTGCAACCAGCGGGCACACTAAGGTGCAACCAGCGGGCACACTAAGGTGCAACCAGCGGGCACACTAAGGTGCAACCAGCGGGCACAGTAAGGTGCAACCAGCGGGCACAGTAAGGTGCAACCAGCGGGCACAGTAAGGTGCAACCAGCGGGCACAGTAAGGTGCAACCAGCGGGCACACTAAGGTGCAACCAGCGGGCGCAGTAAGGTGCAACCAGCGGGCACACTAAGGTGCAACCAGCGGGCACACTAAGGTGCAACCAGCGGGCACAGTAAGGTGCAACCAGCGGGCACACTAAGGTGCAACCAGCGGGCACACTAAGGTGCAACCAGCGGGCACACTAAGGTGCAACCAGCGGGCACACTAAGGTGCAACCAGCGGGCACAGTAAGGTGCAACCAGCGGGCACAGTAAGGTGCAACCAGCGGGCACAGTAAGGTGCAACCAGCGGGCACAGTAAGGTGCAACCAGCGGGCACACTAAGGTGCAACCAGCGGGCACAGTAAGGTGCAACCAGCGGGCACAGTAAGGTGCAACCAGCGGGCACAGTAAGGTGCAACCAGCGGGCACAGTAAGGTGCAACCAGCGGGCACAGTAAGGTGCAACCAGCGGGCACAGTAAGGTGCAACCAGCGGGCACAGTAAGGTGCAACCAGCGGGCACACTAAGGTGCAACCAGCGGGCACAGTAAGGTGCAACCAGCGGGCACACTAAGGTGCAACCAGCGGGCACACTAAGGTGCAACCAGCGGGCACAGTAAGGTGCAACCAGCGGGCACACTAAGGTGCAACCAGCGGGCACACTAAGGTGCAACCAGCGGGCACACTAAGGTGCAACCAGCGGGCACACTAAGGTGCAACCAGCGGGCACAGTAAGGTGCAACCAGCGGGCACAGTAAGGTGCAACCAGCGGGCACAGTAAGGTGCAACCAGCGGGCACAGTAAGGTGCAACCAGCGGGCACACTAAGGTGCAACCAGCGGGCACAGTAAGGTGCAACCAGCGGGCACACTAAGGTGCAACCAGCGGGCACACTAAGGTGCAACCAGCGGGCACAGTAAGGTGCAACCAGCGGGCACACTAAGGTGCAACCAGCGGGCACACTAAGGTGCAACCAGCGGGCACACTAAGGTGCAACCAGCGGGCACACTAAGGTGCAACCAGCGGGCACAGTAAGGTGCAACCAGCGGGCACACTAAGGTGCAACCAGCGGGCACACTAAGGTGCAACCAGCGGGCACACTAAGGTGCAACCAGCGGGCACACTAAGGTGCAACCAGCGGGCACACTAAGGTGCAACCAGCGGGCACACTAAGGTGCAACCAGCGGGCACACTAAGGTGCAACCAGCGGGCACAGTAAGGTGCAACCAGCGGGCACAGTAAGGTGCAACCAGCGGGCACACTAAGGTGCAACCAGCGGGCACACTAAGGTGCAACCAGCGGGCACACTAAGGTGCAACCAGCGGGCACACTAAGGTGCAGTCACCAATGGCATACCTAATACGCAACCAGCGGTGGTCATGCCAGAGCCAGGATGGCAGACGCAGTAGGCGGCTTTGCGGCGCCTCAAAGAGAGATTCTAGGTAGCACCTAACATGCGGGCACCGAGGGGGACATACCTAATACGCAACCAGCAGTGGTCATGCCAGAGCCGGGAGGGCAGACGCAGTAGGCGGCTTTGCCGTATGGCACCGGAGTGCAGCTGGCTCCTGCAGGGCAGACCCCACACGAGGCAGGCCCTGTGAGGGTGAGGGAGAGAGGAGAGGAGCATACGGAGTGAGACAGACAGCAGATGGTGCATGCATGTGTACTCGCAGTAGGGCAGGGTGCTTTGCTGTACGGCGGCAGAGTGCAGTTGGCTCCTCCAGGGCAGATCCCACACAAGGCATATAGGGTGAAAAAGAGGGGTGAGAAAGAGGGGAGCATATAGGGTGAAACAGCAGCTGGTACAACAGAATGGAGCGCAGCCGAAGGCAACAGTGCATGCATGTTAGGCTCAACACATGCAAGTGGCTGGGCTGAGCGGGTTCATGTGCATCCAGTGTGAGCCGCGAAGCAGCTGACCCGAGTGTATAAGGAGCTGGGGTGAGCCAAGCCGGGGTGGGAAAGAGGGGAGCATATAGGGTGAAACAGCAGCTGGTGCAGCAGCACGTAGCGCCGCAGAAAGCAACACCGCACGCACGCAGCATGTTCCGCCGCTGAAGGCAACAGTGCATGCATGTTAGCGGCTGGGCTGAGCGGGCTCATGTGCATCCAGTGTGAGCCGCGAAGCAGCTGACCCGAGCCTATAAGGAGCTGGGGTGTGCCAAGCCAAAATGAGCCGAGCCTCTTAGGAGCCTGAGAGACAAGATGGGTAGCCGAGCCTCTTAGCAGCCTGAGAGACAAGATGGGTAGCCGAGCCTCTTAGCAGCCTGAGAGACAAGATGGGTAGCCGAGCCTCTTAGCAGCCTGAGAGACAAGAAGGGTAGCCAAGCCATTAGCAGCCTTGCATGTGGCGCGACCCTGCTGACGAGCCGGTATGGCTAGCTACCCGTCTTGTCTCAGGTGACCTCAAACCCTGGCCCGGGATGAACCTTCTGAGGCGCCTCAACAGGCGACCTCAAACCCTGGCCCGGGATGAACCTTCTGAGGCGCCTTCTGGAATGAACCTCTTCGTCTTCGCTCAAAAACTGTCAGAATGTTATTCTCTAGCCTGTAGTGGGGTGCTCTATAGCGAGTACAACCCATCTAGGGTTTGCTATATGTATCCTCATTGCTGCTAGTGAACTTCTCTCTTTTGCCTAAACTTCTCTTGCCTAGCTAGGACTTACCTAGCTATGGCTCCTAACTCTACCTACGGTTCTCACATGGTATCAGAGCAAGTCGATCCCCTTGGGTCGATCCTGTGGGTGGGCTCACCACCTCACTGCTTCCGCTGCTACTGCCACTCTCTGTGTCGCACGCCCCGTGGCGTGCGACGGATTTTTCATCCCGCCGCGCGCTCGGAGCGTGCGGCGGTTTTCTGCCCGCCGTGCGCCCCGAGGCGCGCGGCGGTTTTCTGCCCGCCGTGCGCCCCGGGGCGTGCGGCGGTTCTCTGCCCGCCGTGCGCCCCGAGGCGCGCGGCGGCCTTCTGCCCCGTCGGTCCGCGCGTCGCCCCCGGGGGGCGCTTCGACGGGCGACGGGGACCAGCCCGTCGTCCCCCGTCGCCCGTCCTGGCCAGCGCGGGCTGCGCCAGCCCCGAGCGCGGCCCGTATGGGCTGCGCCCGGGCCGCGCGCGGCCCGTACGGGCTGCGCCAGGCCCGCGCGCAGCCCGTACGGGCTGCGCCAGGCCCGCGCGCGGCCCGTACGGGCTGCGCCAGGCCCGCGCGCGGCTCGGGCCGCCTGCGCGCGGTTCGTCGGGCTGTGCCAGGCCCGTGGGCGGCCCGTTCCTCTCTGTCCCTGAGCTGCTCGCTGTCCCCCGTGCTTCTGACGGTGCCCCACCCCTACTGCTGCCCGTTCTCCTGAATTAGGGTTTGGGGGTGAGGAGTGTGGGGGTGGCGGTTGTGTGTTATTCCCCTTGCTCCTCCTCCTCCCTGGTCTCCCACTGCTGCAGCTGCCGCTGAGGGGGGTGGGTGTGTGGGAGCCTAGGGTTTAGGGTTTTAGGGGGGTGCGTGGGAGTGGAGCTAGGGTTTGAGCAGTGGGTGTGTGTCGAGGGTGTGGGGCAGTTGGAGGAGGTTGTGTGGAGGTACCTGTCGTGTCGCCTGCAGCGCCTGTAGTCCGTCGCCCTTGCTTCGGTAGCCAGTGAGCCTGATGCACCAGTCGCCAGTGGGTCCGTTGCTCCTGCCGCTCTTCTATAGCCGTCGAGCCAGTTACTCCAGTAGTCCGTCGCCCTTGCTTCGGTAGCCTCTGAGTCAGCCGCTCCTGTGCCCGTGCCTCTGCAGCTTCAGTCGTTGCCTCCCATCTTCTCTACCTCCACAGCTCCTCCTCCTCCTCACTTGCTCGCTGTGATTAGCTCTAGATTTGCTTACCTTTGTGAACTCCTGCTCTATACCTGCTTGCTCATTGTACTGATTACACCCCACTTTGGCTATGGGGGTGTGTCAGAATGTTATTCTCTAGCCTGTAGTGGGGTGCTCTATAGCGAGTACAACCCATCTAGGGTTTGCTATATGTATCCTCATTGCTGCTAGTGAACTTCTCTCTTTTGCCTAAACTTCTCTTGCCTAGCTAGGACTTACCTAGCTATGGCTCCTAACTCTACCTACGATTCTCACAAAAACAACCTCAGGCGACCTCAAACCCTGGCTCGGGATGAACCTCTTCGTTCCGATTCAGCCCGGCTGGCCGATGAAGGCCTTGTCTTTGCCCCGTCCGTCGGCATGCGGTGTTTTAAGGCGGTCAAACTTACCCGTGCACGTGCCCGATACGTTCTGGCAGCCCAATACCTACCAATGCGACCAGTCTGCCGCACGAAACCAGGCCAGCAGACGAACGTACCCATGCACGTGCCCGATATGTTCTGGTAGCCCAATACCTACCATACCAATGCGATGCGACCAGTCTGCGGCACGAAACCCGGCCAGCAGTCCAACATACCCATGCACGTGCCCGATACGTTCTGGTAACCCGTTTTGCAATGCAAGCACAGGAGGCCACGCCGGCAGCGATGTGACTTTTGAGTCGACTCAAGAGTCAGTTCGGAACGGAGCAGTAGACGAACGTACCCATGCACGTGCCCGATACGTTCTGGTAGCCCGTTTTACAAGCACAAGAGGCCGCCCCTGCAGCGTCCTTCACGCAATCCGTGGTATAGGTGTTGCAGCTCAGGGTGGCACAGGTGTCTGTAGGGGGGACAAAGGGGGGGAGAATGCAATGGTTGCTGAGAGCCTTTTTCTGAGTAGTTTAGTTCCAAACCGTGCTGCTGCAGGGGAGCGGGTACATGTCGGTGTGGTTGATTGATGACACACACAGGTATTTCGTGGGAGGCACGAACAGCATTAGACCTTCTTGAGCAGAGCAAGTACTCACTCTGGAACAGATTGGTGAGGGGGTGAGTGAGATGAGAGTGGGATACAGGGGTACACATATTGTGTGTGCGTGTGTGTGTGTCTCCATATATA